AGTCAAACAGCTAGACGCAAGTGTGCTTGCTTGTTCTTTAATACTTACATTGTCTTGGCTATTCTGGAATGGGGAAATACTTTATTACATAAAATAAGTTAACCGATCTCTAGACAATATTTTACAAACTATTTGGGCACTCCATCCTGGCAAAATTGACATAAAATAACCATGATGTTAACTGTCGCAAGCACTTTCTCTCAGTGTGCAGTGAGCAAAGGTTCTCACTTATTTGATACTTATCTTACAGGCCTATGAGGGAGTCTCATTCCTGTCAACCACATTTTAATAGACAAGGCACAGAAAGGTTAAGCAACTTGCCTGAGATCATACTGCTCATAGATAGTACTGTAACTTTCAGATCAACTTTTGAATATTGTTCTATTCCCTTTTCAAACAGATGAAAACTGAAGTCATCAGCGCTTTATGTGTTCTAGCTCTTCTTGCAAGCATCCTTGCCCCAATAGCAATGCATGTATCAGGTGTCAACCTTTACATTTCACACACAAGCTCTTGGTACAGTCAGAGTTATCCTGATTTTCCAGATGAGGAGATTTTTGACATAGTAAGAAGTAAACGGTGATTTGTTGTAAGCCTTATTGTGAAACAGAGGATTTGAATCATGGCCCAGTCTCCAAAGCTCATTTCTTTTGCCTTTCTGTACATGGTTATTGATGTTGAATACTGTAACGATGTTTCTACTAATATTTTGTCTCATCGATCTTGAATTAGTTTAGCCAAAGTTGGTTTTCTGTTATGTGTCCTTCACATAAAATACATCATATAACCATAAGTTTCTGGCCATTTTATGCCTCTGGAAAAAATGTAGAATGCAAAGAATGGAGGAGAATGCTAAAGAACAGCCTCGGCTTGGAGAGGACTTCTGAGAGAAGGGGTGTCTGAGAGGGGCAAAAACAAGTGACTAGAAGTCAGAGCAGGGGTCCAAGCTGATTGATTGCTTTCTCTGGAGATCTCCAGACAGTTCTTTCTTTGTCTGTCTCTCTGTGTCTCTGTGTCTCTGTCTCTCTGTGTCTCTGTGTCTCTGTCTCTGTCTCTCTCTCTGTCTCTCTCTCTTTCTCTCTCTCTCTCCCCTCTCTCTTCTCCAAGAAGTTTTCTTTTGCTATTCTAAAACATTCTCTGAATAGCTCATCTTGCAGATCATAAGCCCAGTCTTTTATCTTACACATCAATCCAGTCATTTACACCATGTTCCCCTTTGATTATCCTATAAATCAGTATTCCGAGACAGTAAGCACATTTTTTTTAAAACACTGCAAATAAATTTAAAGATCTGTCTCTTCTGTTAAGTACAGATGATAAGCTATCTGGTGGATCCCCACCCTGAATTTACCATTTCTACTACTCCTGGGCCTGGATCTGAACTTCCTCTGTCCCAGGCTAATCTTGAACTCAGGAATCTGTCTGACTTTGCAAACAAATCTTAGCTGGGCAGGATCTCCTGCGATCACTGTTCCTTAAATCTCTGTATCTCCTTCCTCAGAATCTTTCTGATAAGTTAGCTTACAGAGCAATGGCTTTTATTTCTTTAGCTTCGTGAAGCCCTTCGTATAATTCATATTGTATCCTTATATTTTCGAGAAATTATTATTTTCAAATCCACATTTTTAAAGCTTTTTTCCACAGCCTTAAGGGCTGTTCTGAAGGTCCCAGAGTTTACCATTTTGCTGAGTTATCAGCCACTCCTTCTCTTCCTGAACTGGTGCTGTCTCTGATTATCATGGAGTCATTAACGTTAACAAGGAGGACATTCCTTGAAGGAGGAATGTAAAGTATGTACATTATCATATAGACACAGCAGCTATAGACACTCTGGAGACCCAAGCCCAGTTGGCCCTGTCCCAGGAGCCAAGCCATTATACCCCAACCAAAGCCAGGATCGGCTCAGCAGGAGAAGAGGAGGAAGACAAGGAGGGAGAGAGGTGAGGGTGAAACTACATATTGCAGCAGTTCTTAACTTTTGGGTTGTGACCCCTTTGGGAGTCCAACAACCCTTTCACAGGGGTCACCTAAGATCATCATAAAACACAGATTTTTATATCTTGATTCATAACAGTAGCACAAGTAGAGTTATAAAGTAGCAACAAAAATAATTTTACTGCTGGGGGTCACCACAACACGAAGAACTGTATTAAAGGGTCACAGTATTTGGAAGGTTGAGAATCACTGGCGTATTTGTCTCTGCTGTATTTAGTGAAAGCCAGGAGATAGAGCCCTACTCTTCCTGGAGCTCTGTAATGGGGAAAATAAGTAAAATGGGGAAATTACAGTTAGAGTAGAATATAACCATGCCTGTGAGATGAGTTTGACCAGATTTGCCTTCTGGTAAACACTTTCCTTAGAAAAGGAGCTACAAACCAGAAACGGATGGCTTTGCAATTCTGTTTGTAACATGGAATTAGGTAAAGTTACCTTTGGCCTGTTTGAAGTGACTGATGCAGAAAGCCTTTTGCGAGAAGGCTGTTTCCCAATGGAGCCCAGGAGCAGGCAGAGTATACTGCAAGGTTACTGTAGATAAGGGTCACAGTGACCTAGTGTTTACTTCCTCCTCCTACATTCTCTGATAAGATTTGTATGTTAGAAGAGTAAAGTCTCTGTCTAGAAGTTACTATGACTGAAGAATCAGAGCCTGAGTATGTGTTTGTCCACAGAAACTCCCTCTCCTTTTCTTGTTGAAAAATACCAAAGCCATCTGCAAGGGAGAAAGAGATCTGTTGAGATCACAGGCTGACAAAGGCCACGTTTATACCTCTTCGCATAGCACACAATCATGAGTCCTAAAAATAGAACAGGCCACAAGTCTCACCAGAAAATTTATAAAAAGAAACCCATGATTGTGTAAATGCTTCAGAATTAGATGGTGCTGATTCTGCAGTGTGTGTAGGAAAGACATCAAAGATGCTCTAGAGAGAAAGGCACTGGGTAGCACTGCACAGTGAGTATGAGTTAAGTGTCTTCACACTTCTCATGGGAAAGAAGCTGCGAGCCTGGCTATGGAGACAGACATAGCTTGCTTACATCCCAGTCCAACAACTTGCAAACTGAGATTCTCAGCTCACTTTCTCAGCCTCTTCATCCAGTGTCCTTGTTACAACTACAAATGATAGTAATTACTTTTCTTTCTGTCTTTTTAAAGAATTATTATTTTTAATTATGTCTATGGGTGTAGTCTGTGTGTAGGTATGTGCACACGAGGGCTGGTGTCCTTGGAACCCAGAGGCATTGAACCCCTCGAGCTATAGGTTATAAGCTGTCTTCCATGAGTACTGGGAATCAGAAGACAGTATTCTGGAAGAGCAGGACGTGCTCTTCAGTGCTGAGCCACCTCCAGCCCTCACTCTGGTTTTGGTCCTAGGGTAGAACTCAAGGCTCTGGGCATGCTAGTCACCAACTATAATAGCTTCAAACTCGAAACGACTTCAGCGTCTATCATAAAAATAAATGCATAAGTTAGCATGTAACTGCAAAATGGAAAAGTATTAAGACCCAAAACTGTATAGCAACATGGGAAAAAAAACCTTACAAATACACTGTCGAACAAGGAAAGCCAAATAAACAAAAAAAAGAATGCATAGGTTATGGTTCAATACATATCAAGAGTAAAGACGACATTAATCTACTGTGTTAAAAGTCAGCATGGAGGCTGCCCCTGGGACGAAGCAGGATTGGGACAGCAGGATGGAGGGCTCCTGGTGACTAAGAACAATGTTTCTTGATGGGGTGCTGGATACAAAAGCAGGCTGCATGTTGTGAAGATTTCTTGAGCTACATCCAATATGCACAATTTTCTGTCTGTATGCTAGATCCAATAGCAATTTTAAGAGCTGTATGGAAATTGGCTCTGTCCAACATAAGTCATTAGAGTCAGTGAGTCATCAACACAACTATCACTGTCTAAACATTATTATTATATGCGCTGAATCTCGAGATGCTCTTGGACCGGGAGGTGCAACTAGGCAACACAACTTATCAATTTAAAAACTTATCCCATACATACATTTTGAGCATATTCTTTCCCTTACCACAAGTCCTTTCAGATCCTCCCCACTTCCTTACTCAACTTTGTGTGTTCTCTCTCTCTCCCTCTCTTTGTCTCAAACAAAAATCCAAAATCAAAACAAAAACCCAATTAAGACTAAAAAGTATCAAAACAAAAACAAAATACCACACACAAAAAAACCATGGAGTCAGTTTTGTGTTGGTCAATACTTCTGTGGGTGAAACCTGCCCGGGAGTATGCTGAGATAGCCTGAAAGGTATCTGCTGGTGCTTTCTTGCTTAGATCCATCTTTCCTTGACTAGTTCTGGTGGGACTCAGCGCCTGATGTAAAATCTGCTGTCCAGTGTTCTCCGTCCACACCCCAGCCATTCCCTCTTTTGATGTGATTTATCTTTTACTGTTTATGTGTTGGCTTGCTTCCTCTTCTTCCTTATTAGACTAAAGGTTCTAAAGACGGTTATCTGATTATTTGAATCAGTTTGGACCTCCAGATCCTAGTCAATACTTCCTTCAAAAGATGGAAGTCTTTATGGCATGCAGGATCGTTGAGAGCCATCCCAAGAAGCCTGCTAGTGCAGTCCAAAGAACACTGCTTTTGTGATTTGTCAAAGAACGAGCAAGAACACTGGATGACGTACAAGCGCTGTACATAAGCAAAGCGTGACTGTCCTGTTCTCGATTTCTTGAGTCACAGCCAAGATTACTCTTGCAGAAGCGAAACTCCCTCCTCCTGTGCCTGGCAAAAAGCAAGGTCCATTGGTGCCTGATTCAAGGCCGCCAGACACATCGGGAGGGCGGGGCGCCACGTCGAACAGCTACTGGCCCAATTTGACGTCGCTCTACAGCGCTAAATTGGCAATCTGAGAGGTCAAATTGCCCGTGCAGGAGGCTCGTTCCTATCTAGATCTGTAATTGGCTCAGATTGAGGGCGGGCAAGGAGCCCTGCAGAGCACCAACTGGCTAGTGTTGCTGTCAATCATCAGAAACAGACTCCTCCGGGTCTCCATTTGGCTGGCTGCGGTTGAATTTCCAGGAGTGGAGGAGACTGTGGGTTTCCTAATTGCTTGCTCTGGAGATCAGAATCAACAGAGAACTCAGTCTTACTTACCATCCAAGAAAGTGCTCCCTTCCTTCCATTAGACAATTAAGAAATTTACAGACACACAACCATCACGAGGTAAGAGCTTGAAGAGTTCAATTCGCTTATTCTTTTAGGTTGTTGACAAGATATTGGAGGTTCTCGGAAGTCTCTGGGAAGGCGAAAGAGAAACACGAAATGAGTTCCTGCAGCTTACTCTGTCTGAGGTCGAGCCCCACGCGCATCTCTCAGGGCTCGAAGGTTTTCTCGAGGTGGAGAGCAACTGCCTAGGCCCGCGGTGGCTGCGCCGGAGCATCCGGCTCCCCCGACGCAGCCCCTGTCGGCCTTGAACTTGACCTCGGGCTAGAAGTGAGCGCTGGGGAAGCGGGGATAGTAAGATGGGCGGGGTCCCAGGGAGAGATTGAGAAAGCGAGCGAAGGTAACCGAAGCCGCTCGGATACCCTACAGCGAGACCCCTGATGCGCTCCAGAAGGCAAGAGCAGGCGTGGCCTCCTCAGGACCTGTTTCTCAGTCTGAGGACTCAGGATGCCAGATCTCCTGTGCTGCCCTGCAGGAGAGTGTTGTCCTGCTGCGTCCAGCTTCAGTCAAGGCCAGCAAACCAGCCCAGGATCCTATTCAGCCGTGACTTGTAAAGAGACTGGTGTAGAGGATTGCTGAGTGGTTTGGATCTGAGAGCTTGTGTTTTGCTTTGCTAGAAGAACACTGAATCTTTAAGGGCATATTGGCTCCTGGTGAAGGTTTTCGCAGCGGTTTTCGGTAGATGAGGAGAGTTTACCCGGAGGAGAAAAAGACTGAGGCTCTGGGTAGAAATAGCTAGGAAATTTTGAGTCTCAAAAGCTCCACTGGTGTTTTCGTTGTAGGAGCTGCGGGAATACAAACTGCGAAGCTCCCAACTCCCATGTGCGTGCCATCCCGGTAGAGCAGTTGTGGCCTCTGCTGGACCTGTACCCCAGTGAGAAAACCTGGGGGCGGCCTGAGATCGAGATTTGTAGGGCTTCGCGGAAGGGAGGGTATTTCCCTGCTAGTGTGTGTTAGAGCTTGTGGAAATTGGAAACCAGCTCACCACTGTATGACAAATGTCATTAAATAGGAAGCTTTGGATAATAGATTCTTGTTTCTGTTTTTCTTGCAATCCAAGTCTTTTTTTCCTTGACTACCCCCCCACAGAGTTGAGTAATACTTACTTTTCAATACTGTATTCTCAGTTCGCCTATCAAAACAGACTCTCATGTACAACCGAAGGGAGTGGTTGACCATTTTTGTTTTCTTCTTTTCTCCAGTAAACTAATACATTTTCTTTCCTTCTAAAAGGAGGTAAAGACATTAAGAATATCAATTTCCTAAAATTCATTTATGAGGTTTTCAGAAGATTTTAGTTGTTTATTGTGGTGCACTGGGATTTTTGTTGGTGATGGTGGTAAAGAAATCTGGAATTTAAGAAAAGTCGGGCCGGTGATGTGGCTTGGCCAATAAAGGTCCCGTCTGCTGCCAAGCCTCCCGCTTGATTTCTAGCACCAAGACCTACTCGATGGCAAGAGAAGGTATACCTACAAGGTGTCCTCCGACCTCTGCCTGCTTGCACTGTCCTGCAACCCGCGCACATGCATACATACATACATACATACATACACACATACAGACATACATACATACATATCAAAAATTATCTTGTGTTTCCAAATACCAAAGTGCCACTTTATAGTTACCTCACCAGCTTCCTAGAGGGAGGAAAATCTAAGCCCTCTGTTGATTGCCGGAACCCCCAGTTAGTTAATCCTGCCAGGGGCTTGCATAAAGTGGTAAAAATAAACTTCCACTTGGAAGTTTTGACATTCAAAACCTCAGTGCCAAAACCTGCTATCGAGATAATGCCTCCTTTTTCCAAAAATGAAATTGAACAGCTCTGGAGTTAAACTACCGAGCAAGTATAAATATGAAATATGAAAAGTAAAGTTGACATAGTTGTCGTGCGCCTGTGTATGTGGGTCCTTGTCCTATGAAGTCAAATGGTGATTTGCAAACTTTGCAAGGCAGACACGGTTTTTCCTGATGATTTTTGTTGTTGAGACTGGATCTTAAGTAGTCCAGACTGGCCATTAACTCCTGATCCTCGGGTGAACCTCCCACTAACCTCTTTTTAGGATGTCTTTGGCCTGAGATTCCTGCTCTGGAAAAGTGGGTTTCAGGGTACTGTCATGAAGACAATCTGTGATTATGATCACAGCTTCTTTAACTTTTTGAGCTGAGATTCCTGCTGGACAGAATTACTTATATAGTATTAAAACTTATTGTTCTAATACTGAAGTTTTATTTATTTCTTCATCTCTTTTCTGTCTGTTTTAAAGTATCAGGTTGAGGAGGAAGATGGGGAGAAAGGCTTAGTCTTACAAATCATGTGACAATGGTGGGGAAGGCATATTTTCAGATATTTATAATAGAGAACATAAGCTAGAATGCACTTTTAAAGATTTATTTATTTTATGAATGTGAGTACAAGGTCGCTTTCTTCACACATACACTAGAAGAGAGAGTCGGATCCCATTACAGATGGTTGTGAGCCACCTTGTGGTTGCTGGGAATTGAACTCAGGACCTCTGGAAAAGCTGAGCCATCTCTCCAGCCCCTAGGATGCATTTTTAATTTTGGGCATGCGCGCACATAATTTTAAAGACTGTTGTGGTTAAGTTGTGATACATTTCTTGTTTTGGTTGAGAAATAAGAAAGAATTTGAAATACTTAGTTCTGGCAAGAGTACTTTTTTTTTCCTTTTATATACAATTACCAAAATATTTTAGACTTATGTTGCATATCTAGGATTCCAACAAAATTATTTGTCTTTATTTTTTTCCTTGGCAGAGTTTAAAGTTTATTTATTGTAAGTAGACTAAGTCCTATGTATTTGTGTATATGCTTTGTATTCCTTTAGGTTTTCTGAGATATTTTGTGTAGTAACGGGAAAAATGGATGCTTTCACTTTGAAAGCTTACATATAATTATTTAAATGGTTTACTGACATCAGTTAGCTTAGATTTCTAATCCACAGAGCAGCATTCTGATTATAAACACCTTGTTAAGTAGCTACTTCTTAGTGGAGAAGCTGCTTATCCTAGCTCAGGGTCACTGAGCTGACTAAGAGAATGCTTAGGCTCCCTCCTGTCAGGTTGTCCTCCCTTGTTTAAAGGCTCAAGTTCTGGAGCTCTGCTGTTGTTCTAAGTGTTGTCTTTCACACTTCTATTCCACCCGCCCCCCTCGTCTGCTGTTCAGTTCATGGTCATTTCTGCTAGCATTCCAAGACCTATCAGGCTGATGGTGGTTTTGTTTTTGTTTTTGTTTTCCAAACTTGAAGCAGGGGAAATCTTTCTCAGAGTACAGAGCTTTGTTTGGTTTGGGGTAAAGATGCTTTCTCTCTCTCTCTCTCTCTCTCTCTCTCTCTCTCTCTCTCTCTCCTTGTGCTGGTCTTTGTTTGGGGGTCTGGTCAGATTTTAAATTGAGGATTTATGCATGCTAAGCAGCACTCTACCACTAAGCTATACCCCGGGTTGTGAGCAGGGTTAATTGAAAGTCAGTTGTCACATAGCTTGGGAACACAAGTTGCCTTTGAATAGTTTTCCTGAGGCTCTGAAAGGGATCCGTGTGGTTTAGTTGTGGTGTGGCTGCAAAGGAGAGGGAAGCACTCAAATCTCCTGTGTAGGTGGGACTGACCTGGTTCTGTAACACTGAGGAGCCAGCTGTACAGCTGCCCACACGGTACCTCTGCCGTCCAAGTGCTTTCCAGCAGGGGTTTCTCTAGAACTGCCCTGCTGCTGACTTTCTGAGGTAACAGTGTGGATAATATAAAGCAAGATCAAGTTGATGATAAATGTTAGTTTATATAGGCTCAAAGACACTCTCCACTTTTACCTTATCTTACCATCCAATAATATGTCTTGTGGATATTTGTTCCTGAGACTGCAGTTGTGTTTATCCTTTGATTGTTAATTACTTTTGAGGATTAGAAAGAAACATAAAAGGAGGGCAAGAGTATCCTAGAAGACCTGTTGTAAAACTTGAATCATTTGCCTGCTGTCCTGTAACTCTGAAGTGGGTGCATGTCTGGTAAGTAACAGGGCATTTGGTACTCATGCTGTCAGACTGAAGCCGGAGAGGGCGCTTTGGTAATCTCTCTGTTTTCTTTCAACTTGCTATAACTACTGTTATCAGTTACCTCTGTTAGTAACTATTATGTGCTACCTTTATTAGTTTGAAATTTCTCATTGCTGTCACTTATATCTCACATTTTTATTAAAGGCTGTTCCTTGGGGTAATGTTATAAAAGAAAAGTTTGTTTAGGACCAGTGAGAGATGGCTCAGTGGGTTAAGACGGATGCTGCCAAGACTAGTGTTCTGTTCCTTGAGTTCTATCTCTGGAACCAACATGGTGGAAGGAGAGAGCCAGCTCCTTTAAGTAGTTTTCTGACTTCCACATGTACTGTACGCCAAGGCAGCCCCTCCCCACAATATAAATAGATAAATCGATAGGTGTGAAAAATTAATAAAAATAAGATGTTTAATTGACTTTCGTTCGTGTTTGTCTGGGTCTTCGGGGACAAGGTGCTGGCAGGTGTTCTGATGAGTACTTTATGGCAGATGGCACTGTGAAAACGGAACACACAAGAGGGGAACATCAACATCGCTAGACAGGGAGCCAGACAGCAAATTCTGGGCCTAAGTTTCCAAATGATTTGTTCTAGTGAGAACTTATGGGCCCCAGAAGTACTATTTGAATTTCTGATGAGCCCAGTGTGAAGCTGAAGTAAGTATCTTGGAGAATCACTGGTGTGAATCTTAATTTAAAGGCTTAAGAAGCTGCAATCTGGTGTTCATTGGATCAGCACCAAAAATAACCCCTCAAGGAGACGAGGGGGTTACCTTTCTGTTCACTATCCCATGATTTCACCTATATTTGTATGAGACTTTTACCCTCTGTTTGTTGACTACTAACTCATATCCCATGAACTCTAAAAACAGCCTCACACATACACCATCGTGTGTACTACACATTTTCTGTATCTCTCAAAATTTGGCCAAAAAATATTTTTATAGAATTTCATACAATATATTTTGATAACACTCCCCCCTCCAACTTTTTCTCATGCTTCTTTAAAATATACTCCCCAATCCCACCTCCACTCAATTTTGTATATATATTTTTTATTTCCCCCCTTGGCCACTCTTTTGAATTTGTACTGGCCATCTATTCATGGGTGTGAAACCATCCAGAGAGCATAGTCAACCTATCAGGGGTTACATCCACAAAGAAAAACTGACTCTGCCTCTCCATCAGCTGTACATAACATCTCATGGGTGAGCTGGGAGAGTGCCCATGAGTCTACCCCCTTTCATCTTTGAGTGTTGACTCATTTGGTCTTGTGCAGGCAAACATAGCTGCTCTGAGTTTCCTATTGCAGTAATGGTGTCAAGTTCAGAAGACACTGTTTTCCCACCAACCCTCCTCAGTTGATGGGTCTTGGCATCTTTGTGCTCCATTTTTTAGATCAATGATTCTCAACTTTCCTAATGCAGTGGCCCTTTAATACAGTTCCTCATGTTGTGCTGACCCCCAACCATAACATTATTTTTTGTTGCTTCTTGATAACTCTAATTTTGCTGTTATGAATCATAAATGCAAATACCTGTGTTTTCCAACAGTCTATGGCAACCCCCAATGAAAGGGTCACTGAACCCCCAAAGCCATTATGACCCACAGGTTGAGAACCACTACCTTAGCTGATTCCTGAACCTTGAGAGGAGAGGTGTAGTGTAATGTTCCTCTTTTGTCTTGAGTACCTTACAAATATCTATTCTTTTCTCTTGGACGGGTTGTGAATTTCTGCATGAGTGACAGTCCAAACACAAAGATGCACGCCTCCAGTGATCTCTGAGAGCTGCACTAAGCTGTGGTATAGAGATAGGAATTTATAAAGCGGTCTCTGTGGACAGGCTGCTCTCAGCATTGGGGCTTTTCCATGTAGTTCTGGTAGATAACTGAGAGTAAAGACGTTAGCCTGTATTGTTTAAGGAGTGTCTGGGACACCCCTGACCAATAACTAGCTGAAAGATATTCCAGCACTGGACTTTTTATTGGGCTACCTATGGCTCCCAGAGGGAGCATTATCTCCTGTGTAGGGTTTTCCTCCTTTTCTCCCTCCTCTCCCTCCTCTTCCTGAGCCACACAGAGGATATTATATGTGTATGTATATGCATAAGGAAGTTTATATGGCTTTTTCAAACATCCTTAGTGTTAGTTATCTTTCCCCCTAGCCACCCCCATTCTCATCACAATTTCTAAGGGAATTCTTTGGTATTGTATTCTTTGTTTCACTGCTTTACCTGCTAAATAGAACAATGGCCCTTCCTACCCTTAGTTAAGCTGAATTTCCAAAATTTCACCTAAAAGTTATTGTTTGAAATTTGTAATGTATTCCTGCATATATGGACTCCAATTGGCTCTCTCTCTCTCTCTCTCTCTCTCTCTCTCTCTCTCTCTCTCTCTCT